CTTTGTTATTTTTTTAAAAATCTTTAATAACTCAAAATTTTGCTTATGAAACCACTTTTTGTGTTCTAATAAAAAAAGTTTCTTGCAAATTTTGGTATAAACTATGCCTTTGCTCCATCCTAGGCCTTAGCCCTAACCTTTATATTACTTAAATTTTAAGTTTTTTAATTCGTTGTTTATTTGTTTTGATGATGATCTTCATGTTACACAGCATACTGGTGTTGAACACCAGTGGTGCGATTTAGTACTACTTATTATCATATATTTATTTTATAAAGTTGCATTAATATATATTTTATAAAAGTATTTAATAGTTTACTTAAAGATTATATAACTATTATTAGTTTAATAATAAAATACTTTATTTTAATTGGTAACATAAATTTTTATTATTTGATTAGCATACAAAAAAAATAATTAAGAATAATAATTAAATCATAACATAATAAAATAATAAAATAATAAAAAAGATTAAACCTAAATATTAAATAACAATTTCAATTTGCCAGTAAATTATTTTTGACAAATAAATGATTAACAAACATGAATAAAGTATTGAAAAATGTTAAAGCTATAGAGTATGCGTAATTTAACAATATATTTAATACGCATTTACAAAGGTTTATTTAATATCCATTTAGAAAAGAAATCTAAGCTTGCCTCTGGCTGATCATGAGCTACCATATGTGCGGCATTGAAAACTTTTAGGAATGTTAATCCACCGAATGTTCTAACATCTCCAGCGTAAGTACCATTATTTGTTATCCATTGAGTAAAACTAGCATTGTTAAAACCTGCTTTACCAGACCAATCAAGTTCTTTTGTCCATGCGTCGTTACCTAAAAATAAAACGGTTATTAATTAAAATTTTGCCATAGTAAATTTACTAAAACTCTCAATATAATAAATTTAAACAAAAATTATTAATGGAACAGATCACTTCACTAACGAGAGTTAGTTACTTGTAATTGTTCCAAGATATTTTATAATAATATATAAGTTTAGTAACAAATACTTACCAAGCCAACTACAAAGATAGTCAGCATCACCTATAAAAATAATTTTATGACAAATTAAATAAAAAATTTCAACCTATTTAAAATAAAACTAACATACAGTATCAATAAAATTACCTGCATATACTAATACTCGAACATTGTTTTCCAAGAGTGGTGGAATGTAACTGTCAAAGGGAAGCATCCTAAATTAAAAAAAAAATAAAAAGATAAAATGAACATGTATAAATATATTTGTAAAAGTTTTAACCACAAAATTAAATCAATTTCAACTAATTTAGATTAATTGATTAATCTAGATTGCTTACCAATCACCCGAGTAAACGAAGGTGTCATTAATACCACGGTTACATAGTTCAAAGTCAAACAAAGGATCAACCCCCAATGCAGTTTTAACAGCTGAACTATTGGAATATTTCTCGATATCCGGGAATCCTGGAAAGCAATCAGAATTACTGCATTTTTTTCTTATATCCAATTCATCAAAACCAGCATTTGTAAGAGGATCAATCATTGTACTAAAACATATGCTAAAAGCATTTATGCAATCTTGAGGACTTTTTGTATTGTAACATGTTTGTGTTGCACTAGCACATTTAGGAAAATCCGCTGTCATCTGAGCACATGTGGCATTATCTAACACTGGTTGATAAGGTGGATTATTACAAGCAATATCTGGTAAAGATTTGAATTGTATTAGAGGGTTTACTAGGCCATTTGCAATCAAAATGGATTCAAGATTGATATTAGAATTTTTCGTTTTGATATTTGAGGCTAAGACGGGTACGTAATGTCCTCCATACCTGTAAATAATATATACAAAAATAATTCTGTTATTTTTATGATTTTTATTTAAACAATATTAACAATGTTAACAATGTTAACAATATTTATAAGATTAACAATGTTAACAATATTTATAATATTAACAAATGCTTACGATTCACCAGCAATATGGAATTTTAACTTAGAATATTGAGGGAATTTGTCGAAAAAGGTTTGTAAAAATGCGTATACATCATCTTCAGCGGCTGTAGTAGTAGTTACATTAGGACCATAAGAGTATCCTGAATTAGTTGGCTATAAAAATAAATTTTTATTGTAATTGAATTGTTAATAATTACACAAAATATATTTAGTGTAAAAAAAAAAAATAACGCAAAAAAATATTCTTTTAATACCTGATCCAAGAAAATCATGCTAGCACTGTTAGTCCATGAGTTAGGATTTCTCGTTGTACCATTTCCTCCTTCGTTAACAGTGCAAGGACCCACTTCATAGTATAATGAATTTATAGAAGAACATCTATTATGTATAATTAAAATATAATTGATTGTTAATCTCAAAAGCTACCCAGAAGATCAAATTAAGACCTTAAATGTATTAAAGGTTTGATGGTTTCTTTAATAAAAGGTATATGTTTTTATAAGCTCTCTAATTATAAAATGAAATAGCATAGTATCGTTAACTAAAGTTACTACTGGAGCTAACTGCGACACTGAGTCCGCCAGGATTAGAATTCGAAAATGGAAATTATAATGATTACTACGTACTGTACGTAATCATTTTCATTGTTAAAATTTCTATTTTTGAATTCTACCACTATCTATAAGTCAGGATGATCATGAGAATTGTGGATAACATTATAATAAAAAGGTGGCGTAGATGCATAAAGTGAGGCGCGAATAAACGGCTATGCATGGTGTCAATACTGTGGGCCTGCATCGTCATCTTTCTATCAGAGTCCCTGCATTGACACCACACCTCCTGCATCCACCCTACCTTTTTATTACTTCCAACAAGTCGTGAAACCATTACTAATTTAATACAGTCGATCTTATCACTAATATGGTATTAAACTTTGAGAAATATATATAAAAATTTAAAATTTTTCATACCCCGGGCCACCGTTAAGCTATTTTTAATAAATTTTAAATTTTCAATTAATGATTTAACAGATGAAAAAAAAAACTGTAAATTACTATATTTACATACCCAAAGAACGAGCGGATCTTGGGCAGGATTGCCTCTTGATTCGAAAAACCAAAAAAATAAATGTTTGTTGCTACTAACTTCAACGTATCCTGAATACTAATATTCAAAAAAAATTTAGTATTAAATAATAATCAAAGATTCATTATTCTAAATAAATATAAGATCAAATATTCATTATTCTAAATAAATATAAGATCAAATATTCATTATTCTAAATAAATATAAGTCATAAATATACCTGTATACCGCTATCACAAAGATTCGGTTGAGTAACTGTAATTTGACGTCTTGAAACATCTCTATGATTCAATCTTTTTGTCCATTGAGACGAAACCAAATCGCATGATAATAATACTCCGAGAGCAAGGAATAAAACTCCAAACTTTAAGTGTGTTAACATAATCATTTTTCTTATAATGTTGCTTTATTAAAGAAATTAATCTTTTTGAAGTGAATTCATCGCCTTCACTGCTGCTTATTTATAGTGATATCTCTCAAGTCATTCTTCTTAAGCCATTCCTCTTAAGTCATTCATTCAATAATATTTATCGTAGTGCATAATTCTTAATCACAAATCGAATTAATAAATATCGGGTAAATATCAAAATACGAACTCTCGATATGCACTTAATATCGGGTAATAAATAGTAAATTATCGGTGCTGGTACATTTATCGGTAATTAGTATGCAGTCATATTATTGACAACTGCACTAAAAATTGTTTTTTTTTTCATATTACGTTATCCCTGTTTCATCATCCTTTATTTTTTTTTATAGCTTAAATTTTAATGATAACCTCATCTTAAAAAAAAAAAAAGGGGGGCATAAAAAAAGAAAAAATTTAAACCGATAACATAAACTATACGAATGTGAAAAATAGTATAGTTACTAATAACTGCTTCTCAATAATATCTTATTGGATAGAGCGTGGTGATGTGCAAATTGGTGGTTTTTCAAATTTCAAGCGCATTATGCGCATGAAATTTTTTCCTGCGTTATACTAATACGGACCGGCTTTCTCAAATTATAAAACATTTTTGCACATGATCAGAGTGTAATATGCACAAGGGTGTTGGGTGACGGCAGATAGTACTGCACAGCAGTGCAATCTGCTAATCATCTACCGTCATCCAACACCCTTGCGCATATTATTAGCAATTCCGATACATAATTAAATGCATCGGATAAAGTATCGGGATTGCGGATATTTTACTGATATACGTATGTACTAGCATCGATAATTTACTATTTGTTATCCGATATATTACCAATATGCAGTGTATGGGAGTAAGTATATCAGATGTATATCGGGAATTTTGTATTCTGATATTTACCTAATAATTGTTTATTCAATCTGTTAATCAAGTGATTTTAATATAATTATCGAGAGATGTAATTAATTTAATAATCTTTATGCATAATAAAATTAATTTGCATGCGTGACATTTTTACCAACCGCACTTATAGTGCTTTAACTATTATATATGTTTATTGATTTTCCATAATTTTTATAAGTTTTGTATAGAAATTCTTAACCCAAAATTTCTAAATTAAGACTATATTTAGGGTTAGAATTGCGGTTTGGAAAAGGTTTTTGGGGTGTAGAGCAGTTTTGCCTAGAACACCTCACACTGATTAATTAACCAGTTCTTGAGATAATACAACATAGGTATACAATACCATAGATGCGTTTTAGTAAAAGTGTTTGCAGAATTCAATTAATTGTAATAGTATTTAAGGATAGAAAAAAACTAGTTTATTAATTGACCAAAATTTTTTAGTCGATTAACTAAATTATTATATAATCAATTTGATTTGACAATGCAATTGATTGGCCAATTAGCTAATTGATTACATAATAGTTTAGTAATTTGACGATAAAATTTTGTCTTTGTTGCTCAATTTCCTAATGTCACTTTTCCGAAGTATTATTCCATAATATCGATAACCTTATTTCTGACAGTCAATTTTGCCGATAGAAGTTTTCACTAAATACTTTTCGATAAAATTAAATTCCCAGACAACTATGATTCATCGACATGAAATATAATAATTCTGTAGTCTATAGTTTTTTAATGATCGAAAAAATGGTACACTGGTAAAACGATAAACCTTTTTTGCAAATCAACTTCCAAAAATATCTGATGTTATATGCAACCTTTCTAAATATCGTCTAAATATCTTCTAAATACCTTCTAAATACCTTCTAAATAACTTCTAAACATTCTTCTAATCTTTTAAATTATCCACGAAAGGGATACAGTACGGAAAAAATTTGGATAATATCGAAAATATTTGGAAAAATTGCATATCATTAATGATTTTTGTAAATAGTGATACAGGCCGATAAAAAAATCGTGAGCGGATCGATCCTAAAAAAGCTTGGGCTGTCGAATGAGCTAACATTTTTGTTAGTGCAATTTTCCGATCAAAAACCAATTTTCATATTCTTTCCCAAATTCTGATGATTCTAAATTGGTTTGTTTTATTCTTTTTGTTTTGAGAAATTCCAGCACATTAGTATTTTTATGCTGGTTAATTGTCTACGCATCTGAACATTTCCGTTCCATATCATATTTTTATATTCATTATCTAAATTATCTACATTATTATAAATGATTAACCGATTTTTAGTTAATTTTTGATCAGTTAGAAAAGTATAGATTCTAACACTTCTTTTATTGATCGGTTAATCTGTTCATTGACCTGGTTGTTGGGCCGAGTCAGTCCGTATTACTGCTTGCTATTATCGGAAAATTTTGTTATTGAATAATATTTCTGGAAAATGAGATATCAAAATTATGTCTTGTTATAGATTTTGGTGAAATGGTATTCATAAAAATAGATTTCGGGAAGTTAACCCGTAACCGATTCTAATCTTTTTGATACCTATCTATATAAAATAACACTAACGATATTAACCAGTTTTAATGATCTCTTATACATGAAGTAGAAAGTATTTTGACATAATTTCTACATGATGTTTGGCATGCAAATACTAAAAGTCTAAAAGTTTAAAATATTATTAAAGCTATTTTCATTAAAATATTATTAAAGCTATTTTCATTAAAAATATCAGATATGAATTTAAGGATCAAAAATGCGAAAATCCGAGTTTAGCTTAAATATATGACGTATTTATTTTAGAAACAAATGTTCTATAATATTATTTCAATTAAAACCAAAATAAGCTTTGAAACAATTTTTTTTGTTAACTGCAATTATTTATTATCATAATAACAGGCTTTGAAATAATTATCTATGTTATCGAGAATTTCGTGAAATGGAAATCTTTATTTATATTAATTCTAAAATCCTAATATGTAATGGAAATTAAAGAAAATGAGTGATATTTATTTATTCAGCAAAACAAAAAAATTTTCCTGAAATTCTTCAATTTAAACTGTCATTTAATTAATCTAATTCCGTTCACAAAAAGAAGGCATTCTACCTAAAATTTAATTGATCTCTAAAGAAGCAAAAATACAATACTTGATGGATCGTTGGTATTGCTTCTGATGAAATAGAAAAAAAAAATCGATATATGTACTGTTTCCCATAGAGTCTAAGAAACCACATACTATCTAAGTAATAAAACCACGGCGTAAAAATTTGCAATCCAATTTCAAGATCAAATATGTAACATGAAATTCAAAAAAAAACAAACCGAACCGGAAATAACTCGTATGGCGATTAGCTTACATCATAATGTAAAAAGGTTTTCAGCAAAAATATCCTTACTATTAATGGTTAGGTAAATGTTGAGATCAACATTATAGTAGCTGATCTCAAAGAATCAGTCGATATAAATGAACAATTAAAGTCGACTAGTTAATGTTGATTAATCAGTCAACTCTACATAAGTGCATGTTGCATTATGAACGATCTATAAATATAATGTTACATAAATTACATTAGACTGATCAAATAATGTAACACTTATGGAGATCCGACTATACTAGTTAATAGAATTGTGAAATAAAATGAGCGTAGCGGCAGTATTTAAAATCAGGCTATTTTATTATTAGAGCTTGGAATCGATGAGTTTCGAGTAGTGATATGGGCCGATGCCAAACTCTCGGGCCGACCCGCCTGTCAAAATTAATCGGCCGGGCCGACCATATTTTTTAAAAAAACTTTTGGTCTATAATCGCATAATTTGATCTCCTTTTCAATGCGAAAATGG